GTTTGTTTCCTGAGATTACGAATTCCTCATATCAGTGAGGTCATGTGATACATGTCTTTCTCTGATTGACTTATTTCACTCAGCATAACACCCTCCAGTTCCATCCATGTCGTTGAAGGTATATTTCTTTTAATTTTTCATTTGAGGAAATGGGAGGCTCAGGAATTTCCTATTGGAAAGATAAAATCAACATAAATATTGTCAGTGAATGGCAGGCAATACTGAAAAGAGAACAGTATCTTCCTTCCTCTTGGTATATATTTTTTTCTTTTTCCTTTTTTTTTTTCCTCCACTTTCTCTGGGTGACAAATGGCCGCATTAGCCTGCCTGCATTGCCCCTGTAAAAATCCTTTTAAAAGGACCAGAGGAAACAATGGTTTTTTTTTTAACATCTTAATTATGTGTTTTAAAAAAATGGTTTTGTCTTAAATATTAGATGTTCCATAAACTGCAGAGCTATCAGAAAAGCCGTATTTGGATTTTTGACTCACTAGATAAATTTAACTGAGCCTTGGAATCCCATTTGGAAAATATCTAGTATGAAGCAGAATGTAAGCTAAATGTTCTGAGGAAAACCGCTCATTGTTTTATTACAAAAGGAATACTTATTGGACTTATGCCCCACATCCCATCCTCTCCTCCCCTTTGACTTCGCCATTGCTGTAGTAATTAGCTTTGTGCATGGGTAACTGGACAGTCCTTCCTGTTAGCTGCATGGAGTAAGTAGGTCTTGCTTTTTGCCCCAGGCATCTCTGCTTCCCTGGTGTGGGACATGGATAACTCATTTCCCTAAACTCAGCTTGGAAGGAGGAGATGATGGAAAAACTCTTTCCTTAACCTTTCTCTAATGGGATGGGTGAGCAAATAAAGTCTCCTTTCTTCCATTTCTGAACTCTTGGGAGGACAATCCTTCGGTGTCTTCTTCAAGGCTGCTTGGAAGGTCTCTGTGGGATGGAGTGTAAGTTGCCCACAGCAGGACCAACTCAAAATGGTCTTTGGATTAGCTCTCCCTCCTACCCTGTTCACTCCTCTCTTGGTACCCCACTCCTGTTCTCCATAATCCCTGATACACTAGCTACCTGCAAGCCCAGGTCTCAGGCTCTGCTTTCTGGGGGAATCCGGGCTAGGCTAACATTCACTGTAGAAAATTAGTGGTTTGGTTTATATCTGTATATTCTAACCCATAATCCGGCTCTCTCTAGAGAGCTCTGCATATGTACTTAAAAAAAAGTATTGGCATTATACTGTACATTGATGTGTTCTGGTTTTCTCTTGCTAGGTTATATCTTCATGTGATTTAAATTTTCTCCATGTAATATTTAATAGCTACATAGTATTTCATTGATTCATTATAGAGCAGCTACTATATCCCCAGGCATGGTTTTGAGTGCTAAAGACCTAGAAATGGACAAACAGATCCTGTCTCGGCTTTTAAGGAGCTGATATTCTAGTTAGGATCTTTCTTACCTTCTAATGGGAGCAAAATTTATTTAACCAATGGCGTATTGTCAGTTATTTAGATTGCTTCCGATGTTCAGTATTCTAAAACAATGCTCCGGGGCGCCTGGGTGGCTCAGTCATTAAGCGTCTTCCTTCGGCTCAGGTCATGATCCCAGAGTTCTGGGATAGAGCCCCGCATCAGGCTTCCTGCTCAGTGGGAAGCCTGCTTCTCCCTCTCCCACTCCCCCTGCTTGTGTTCCCTCTCTCGCTATTTCTCTTTGTCAAATAAAATCTTTAAAAAAATAAAAATAAAACAATGCTCCGGTGCCATCCTTGAAGGTATTCGTTGAATTCATCCTCCAGTTCCTTCTCTTAGGATAAATTCCTAGAAATAGAATTCTTGGAAGAAAGGTGATGAGAGTAAATGAGGGTGCTGGGATTCCCAAGTAGATTTGTCTGTCTGATTCTGGGGCCCAGGCTGTTGATCACCATGCTGTTAATATCCCTGCACTGAAAAATCATGGTAACTAAATTAGTCAAATGGTTCCTAGCTGGCTTAGGCATATAGGCTGTAGGATTAGGTTAAGGTCAGGTCTGGAGTGGGGCAGGGGGGTGGAATCCCGAGTCTGCACATGACCAGCTGTATGATTTTTTTTTTTTTAGCTCAGTTTCTTCATCTGTAAAGTGGGGACAATAGTTCTCATCTTAAGGGCTTGTTAGTAAATACTTATTGAATGCCTACCAATCTCCAGACTCCAAGCTAAGAATGCATAATCCAGTAGGAAAGGGAGATATTAATCAGTTACATGAATCCAAAATCACGAACTCTGCTCTGTGGTATGAGAAGCTATAGGACTGAATAACCAGGTGACCTTATTTTGCGGGGGGGGGGGGGGACGCAAGGGATGGAGGGGAGATTAAGGGAGGTATGAGCTGAGTTAGGGAAGATGTGTGGGAGTTAACTAGGTCAAGGTGGGGGGGGGGGTAGAAACATTCCCGGAGGAGGGAAGAGCAGGTTCAAAGCATTTGGAAGATGGAATACGATTGTACGCCACTTCTTTTCCCATCTCACTTGTAGTTCCTTCTAGAAATGTCTTCTGAGATCTTTCCACGGCTGGTTTTTCTCATTTAGCTCTTAGTTCAGATGCCGTCTCAGAGATGCCTTCCCTGAACATCCCTCTAAAGTTAAGCCCCCATCCCCACCCCGTGCCTTATTACCTTATTTTGTCAATAGCTGCCACTAATTCAAGCCTTCATATTCGTTTGTTGATGTCGTCTCCCCCCCCCCCAACCCCTTGAATGGAAACACCTAGAAGGGAGTGCTATTAGGAGGGTGGGGGCAGGGGACCAGATTTAAATGCTGAATCCTCAGCGCCTGGCGTCCAGTAAGTCCTCAATGCATGTTTGCCCAAAGAAACGGTGCTTGGCGCCAAGTCCGCGCTTGACAAGAGCCGCAGGCGGGAAAGCGGAGAGCCTGGGCGCGGGGTCAGGCCACCAACTTCGGCCTGGGGCGCCGCGAGCCACCGCGGGGGACCGTTCGAGGGGTGCGCCGGGGGCGGGGCCGCCCACCCGGAACCCGAGTGCGGCGGCGGCGCGGATTTCCGGCCGCGGCGGACACTTCCCGCGGAGGGACTGTCCTGTAGCAGCCGGCGGGCCGAGGAGGACACGGAGGACCGAGCGCGGCGGCGATGGATGACCACAGCCTGGAGGAGTTCCGCCGGCGCTGGCAGGAGGAGCTGGCGCAGGCCCAGGCGCTCAGGAAGCGGCGGCGGCCCGAGGCTGCCGAGCGGCGGCCGCGACGGGCCGAAGTGGCCCCGGGGCGCGGCGAGCAGGCCTCGGGGTACCTGGCGCTGGCCCAGGGCCTCCTGGAGGGTGCGGGGCGACCCCCGGCGGCGCGGGCGACCCGGGCCGAGAGGCAGGATGCGGCGAGCCGTTCCCGCTCCCCTCCGGCTCGGGAGGGCGCCGGGGGCGGGGAGCAGCTGGTGGACCAGCTCATCCGCGACCTGGTGAGTGGCCGTCGCCTCCTGCCGAGGTCCGGGCCTGCCCTTGCCTCAAGCCCCCCCCCTCCCCCCAGTGAATCGGAAAGTGTGTGCTACCCTATGTCTGCAGGCATAGAGCATCTCTGGAAGGGGTGCTTCCCACTCTGGGGTGACTTCCCCCATAGTGGCAGTGTCTGCCGACCTTTTTAGGATGCCACAACTGGGTTGGGGGAGTTGCTACTGGAGTCTAGTGGGTAGAAGTCGGGGATACTCCTGAACATCCTACAGTGCATGGACAGCATCCAGAAAAAATTATCCAGCCCGAAATTATCAGTATCAGTTTGAGGAAATCCTACTCTTGAACTCTTTTGGAAAGGGTTGCTTTCAGGGAGGTCTCAGGACAGGGATAGGAAGCAATTTTAACTTTGTTCTGTATAATGTTTGTACTAAGTTTTTTTTCCAACTGTACATGTATTTAAAAGAAAGGGAAAGCAAATCCTGTGGGCACTGTCATTAGCATGGAGGTTCTTAACCATTTCATGGGCATGGATCCTTTTGAGAATCTGGAGGCCCCCCCCCCAAAAACCTTTACGAAGTTGACACAATCAGAATCATCTAAAATACATCCATGGTTAAGGGTTAGGAAATACAGCAAATTTTAATGGTTTGATTTATTTATTTGGGGGGGGTGCAGAGGGGGAGAGAATCCTCAAGCAGACTCCCTGCTGAGCACGGAGGCCAATGCTGAGCTAGATCTCCTGACTTTGGGATCCTGACCTGAGCCCAAGTCAAAAGTCAAGAGCCATTTGCTTTAACTACTGAGCCACCCAGGCACCCCTGGTTCGATTTAAATTAGGCTTAAAGAAGGCTTCTACAGCTTCCCAGTTCAGAGTAATTCTGTAATTGGCAAATTGTTTCTAGAAATAATGGCTTATTTAATGTAGTTTTATTCAAATAACTAATAGCTATAAGAGTTTCCACCAAGTTTCTGGTCTACTTCTAGGGTTAGAACCTTTTTCTGTGTACATGCATTATAAACTCATCTAATGTGACAATTCTTACGTATATGAAAATTCATGCTGGTATCATGTCTGCTTCTGTAAAAAGTGGCTCATCACTGAGGAAGTCTGGCAGATGTAAAAAATCTTTCAGTGCCTTGGGAAGGTGGTTAGCACCGGAGAAGTTGCTCAGGCCATCCCAGATCTATGCAGAAATCACTCCCATGGAAGTAGATTTGTAGGCTAAGGCAAGACCAGCTTATGGTGGTAGAGGAAAGCAGGAAAATGGATTGTTAGGACAAAGGCACGCTTGGGGCCTCCCAGCGAAAATCCAACCTGCTGAGTGTGGCAGTGTCTTCAGGCTTCACAACAATCCTGGAAAGTCCATATTGTAGTATCTCCTTTTATGAATGAGGATATTCAAAGAGGTTTTCTGTAACTGCCCCAGGGATGCCTAGCTGATACGTTCTGGGGGTTGAATTTGGATCCAGGTCTGTTAGGCTGTAAATTTCACCAGGTAGTAGTTTTGCAAACTTGGTGTAAAAATCCCCTTAGGCCTTATTAAAGGACAGGTTCTGGTGTGTCCCTAGATCTGCTTAATCGATATCCTGAGGAAGCTCTTAGAAATGTGATGGTTGGGATGGTCAAGCAAATTTGAGACCACATTGTTTTCTGATGTATAGCTTCCTTTGGTTTACTATCTTGATTCTTCAAGGCTTTCTGGCCCTAATACTCCTGAGGGATAGTCGTTGAGACCAAAAATTGTGTAGCCCTAAATGAAGTCTTCTAGAAATGGAAGGGGCCTGCCTACTGTAGGATCCAAGGGGCACATCGGAATTAGTTAGAAAAAAGCTGCTCTGGAGTGTGTGCCCATGATCTCCTTTGTCTGCAGAATCAAATTAGGTGCTACTGGGCTCTGCATCCTATGAACAGCATCCAACCTTCAGGGCACTTTTTTTAAGTACTTTGCAGTCATCAACACGGCTATAAATAAAATTACTCTCAATCTCCTTGGTCCTGCCTTAAGGGCTTAAAGATCTTTTCTTCAGTTCTCCCACAACCCTCTCCAGTAGCTATTTGCCCCATTTGACAGATGAGCATTAAGAAAGTAATTGATTTTTAGGGGCATTCAACCTCCCCAGTATCCTAAATGTGAGAAATGATGGTAACCTTTACAGAAAAGGCTCGGAATCCCATGTCAATGGTTGTAAGCCCCAGAGGCCAGGCAGATCATGCAAATGAGTAAGGTAGCCTCGGAGTGGCTCATTCAGTCCTTTTTCCTAGTTCACCAGGTGTTTTGTTATGTATCTCTCCAGATTCCAGCCATATATCTGTAATGCTTTAACTCATGGTTTGTTTTTTTTTTAAGTACTCCTTAACACCTATCTTGGGTCTTGAACTCACAACCCTGAGGTCAAGAGTTGCATGCTCCACTGACTGAGCCAGCTGGGTGCCCCATGATGGCTGTTCTTTTTGTCACATTAAATATGAAACATGACAGATAGTGTAGGAATTGCCTTCATGATATCCCTAAAAAATACTTAACCATTTTGTTTGAAACCTAGCTTTCTTGGTCTTGTTTTTCTACTTTTAAAAGTTTCTTTAGACCAAACCCTGTATGAAATCATAAATGTCCAGGTTGGTGAGTTTTCACAAGTGTACACATCCATGTAAATAACACCCAGATTTCAGAACAGCATTCTCAGCTTGTCAGAACCCCCATGTGTTCTCACCTGACTTCTAACACCTTATTTTAATTTTGTCTGTTTTTGAACTATAAGTAGAATCATACAGCATGTGCTTGCTTGTGTCTGGGTTCTAGCACATAGCATTATGTGTGAAATCCATCTCTATGAATATGTCACATTTTATTCTGTTGATGGACATTCTTGATGACTAGTTTAACAGCTGGTTTGGGACTATTGGGAGTAGTGCTGTGAACACTTTGCACATCTTTTGGAACCTGTGTACTCTTTTTCTTGGGTATATAGCTAATTGTGGAATTGATAGGTCATAGGTATGCAGATGTTCAGCCTTAGTAGATCCTGACAATTTTCCAAGGTGGTTATAATGACTTTCCTACCTGATAGTAACTCAAGTATGTAGAATACAGTATTGCACTTTCTTCTCTGCCATAAACATAACAGCATCTAACTGAGATGACCTATGGCAACTGAACTCGACCTCAGCATGGGCGAGATGAGAAGGTGATAAAGTGGGGGGTGGCGCCTGGGTGGCTCAGTCACTGGGCGTCTGCCTTCGGCTCAGGTCATGATCCCAGGGTCCTGGGATGGAGCCCCACATCAGGCTCCCTGCTCCGTGGGAAGCCTGCTTCTCCCTCTCCCACTCCCCCTGCTTGTGTTCCCTCTCACTGTGTCTGTCAAAGAATAAAATCTTTAAAAAAAAAAAAAATTAGGGGATACATGCGGTAGCTGGGTTAAAGGTGGGAGCCACTGCCCATCTCAACTGGTTGTTGCCTTGTGGGAATGTGGTCCCAGTGTGGCAGGGTCTTTAGATTTTTGTTTTGTAATTGGGAATGTTTATTTTTATGTGGACTACATCGGTTTTTGCCACACAGAAAACACCCAGGACTTTGGCTTAAAACACCACTATTTAGGGGCACCTGGGTGGCTCAGTCAGTTAAGCGTCTGCCTTCGGTTCAGGTCATGATCAGGTCGGGCTCCCTGCTCAGTGGGGAGTCTGCTTCTCCTTCTCCCTCTGTCCGTCCTCCCACTCGTGTGTGCTCTCGCATGCTCTCTCAAATAAAAAACAACCCACCACTATTCACCATTTTGCAGAGTGGCAGTTTGGGCTGGATGTGGCTGGGTTCACTCAGATGTCTGAGGTTAGCTGCTGGTTAGCTAGGCAGCTCTGATTCTGGCAGCTGGCTAGTTGGTGTGTGTGTGTGTGCTATGTGTCTCATCCAACAGGTGAGCCCTGCATGTGTGTGTGTGTGTGTGTGTGTGCTATGTGTCTCATCCAACAGGTGAGCCCTGCATGGGCTTTCTCAGAGCTACAAGAGCAGGAGGGCAAGCTCTAATGCCCAAGTGCTTTCAAACTCTGCCCAGGTCATGTTTGTTACTGTCACATCCGCCAGAGTGAGCCAGATGGCCAAGTCTAGAGTTAGGGTGGAGTCACCCACTGCCTGGATACAGGGAAGAATGAACAAAGTAGTGGCCATTAATGCCATCTATCACTCAAATTCCTCCCATATTTTTTTTTTATTTTATTTGACAGAGCACAACCGCATACAAGCAGGGGAAGCAGCCCCCCCACCCCCGCTGAGTAGGGAGCTGGACATGGGGCTCGATCCCAGGACCCTGGGATCATGACCTGAAGCGAAGGCAGACACTTAACGACTGAGCCACCCAGGTGCCCCAAATTCCTCCCATTTTTAATTGTTGGTAACTAATGCAAAAAAAAAGTTTTTAAGTCCTAACACTTGTCGGTTAAGTGAAATCTTCTGTGGGCCGGGTCTGCCTTGGGTCATGAGTTTATCTTTGCGTTTGTTTTCCCAAGAATCCTTATTTGATTCATGGCTGACTCCCGAGAAGGAAGATTTAGTTCCAACTGAGACTCCACAGAAACTCCGACAGGCTGATCCACTTGACATGAGGGAGAAATACAAATCTGGTCTTACCTCCTAACATCCCCTCTCTTTGGGGTGCTTTCCCCCCAGCCCCTCGTGCACTCCGTTGGGCCAGTGTGTTCTGTTGTGTTGTATTTGATGCGGCCTCTTTCACCTCCGAGCCTGCAGTATCCTCACTAGAGTGAGATCCAGCTAGTAAGTTGGCAGTCAAGAGTTAATTTGCCTTTCGAGGAGTAGGTGAACAGTGCTGCGTTGGAGGGTCATCTGGCTGGGTGCAGGCCAGACCTTTGATGGACAAGCACAGCTGAGATAAATTTAGAAGTGGGCCCTGTCTTCTCTTGGGAAGCTTTAAGTAATAGCACTGAGAAGCCGGGGATTTTTAGGTGATGAATGGGGACACCTAAACTGTCTTTTTAGTATATGGTTTTAACAAGTAAAAA